TCTGCGTACACAGCTATATCACACATGGTAAAAAGCCCGTATGCCGTTGACTAATCCTGGTTCGCCCCATTTATGTTTCTAAGTTTGTCAGTACCATACCCGTGCTCGTGGGTTTCACCAAAATGTTAAACGTCTGAGACCTGCATCAACTTCTGGCTGTCCTCTCACGTCAAGCTGACACGTCGTGATATAACTGGAATACTTTTCAAAGCGGCTTAAAACTCAACTTACTCACTCACTCACTTTTCAAGAGTTAGTTTTCTTGCTGTATGTTGCACAGTGAAATAGCATGACGACGAAACTACCACAACCTCTACTTACTTTTAGTATTATTTTAACCTATTCCTTGTAGGAGCTAGACTTCAGAGCAAAACATTACTAATAAAAGAAAGGGTTTAACGATTCAACCATTTCGTTCTTTGATAGTAAATTTGATGAAAAAATAATGAAGGCAACTGATCAAAACCGTTAAAAAAGTAATGAAATGGAAATATAAATCTCAGAATGCTAACTTTTAGTTGAGGACGAACACATTTCTTTGTAATCTGTAAGATGTGTGTGAAATAATAGATAAAAACAATACATATCCATCATTCCACTGCTATATATACTGCCAGGCAAAAGAAAGTATTTTTTCGAAAAGTGGATTCGACCTAAATATTACAAACGTTATGAAAACGTTACTAGGCTGAAAACAGTCGCCGAGGCACTGCAAACGTCAGGTCCTAAACACAGTTATTTTCCCCGTATCAAATACGTCACCATCGAAGAATTTCTTGCTTGTTTCATTTTAACCACACTCAAACATGGGTGTATACTTTCTTTCGCCCGGTAGTTTATATTTTTAACACTTCACCGACGACACTGTCCCGTGCATTTTTATATGGATATAATCAATTTTCTAGTTTGGTATGATGAATGTTATGATTCTGTATTCTTATACCATTTCTTTATTTAGTATAAACGTGCTTGGAACCGTCATTCGAGTTAAATATATAACCGGTGATGCCTACATATCGAATTGGGGCTACTAACAGTTAAAGAATGGACCTGAGGCCTACACATTCATACCAGTCACAACATTAATAACCAGTATCCGACCGGCTTTAACATCCCTGACACGACTACCATCTCAACGTTCCTCATCATCACCACTTCTACAACGAACATCTTCACGTAGATCCCAACATTAGAGCAATAACGATACAGAATACCATTGTACATTAATCCATATTGGAGCCATAACATTTTTGCTGTTGTTCCCTTAGCTATTTTCGAGTTATCTTTTTTTCGGAAGTATTCTATGAAACATACTAATACGTTAGATTTCATGTTTCTATATTAACTTGTGACCTGTGGGCATGGACCCATCGGTCACTGTTAATATAAAGAGGACGTGTTCAGATCGAAAGTTTATTTTAATGCAGTGATCGTGATTATCAGATTTTAGCAGGAGTTGTGTCCCTTATGTGTAACATTATTTATGAAAAGTTGGTTATTAACACTGTAAGTGTCTCTAGATGGCTGCCAGTACTTAGCCATATTGTATGAAGCAAAGAAGACGAGGATTCAGTTGGTAGGACCTCTTTAACTGTTGCCATGGAGCTGTTACAAAACCTGTAGAGAGATAATCGATTACCAACCATGTATCTCAATGTAAGTATGTCCTTTTGTAAATCAAAACAAAATTGTATTTCATTAATTATCATGAAATGTGTTGACGACAAACATGTGCAAGAGCGTTCATGTCTGTAAAATCTGAGAACAAATCACAACCCTTGTGTATTACACGTTTAATGAAAAGTTGGTTATTAACACTGTAAGTATCTCTAGATGGTCGCCAGTACTTAGCCATATTGTAGGTCGCAAAGAAGGAGAGGATCCCGTTGGTACGTACTCTATAACTGTTGCCATGGAGCTGTTACAAAACATAAAGTGAGATAATCGATTAACAACCATGCATCTCAATAGTCTGTCATTTTATAAACAAAAACAAAATTGTATTTTGTTAAAAATAAAATGCTGGATACTATGTCAGGAATTGCCTCCTTAATAGTGAAATATACTCCTTAAAAAAGTAGAGAATCATGAAATATTTTAATGCCAAGTCTTAGAACAAAGAGAAGTGTTGACGACAAACATGTGCATGAGCGTTCACGTCTGTAAAACACACCTCACATGCCTCATGTAGCAGCGCCAAACACGTGCGTAGGGTGTCATACCTGATTTTGACACTTTCTCTGTGGACCATTATTTCAATCAGTCCTATTGATTCTGCGTATCATACAGTTATGATTTACATGATTTCAGTCACTGTTTGTGCGATGCGGCGTCTGTAACGCGTGGAGTTTCTACTGGAAACTTGCAGAAGTCAGCATGCAGTGGCCGATACGTTCAATGTTTAACAGTCTGTGATTAGTAGACTATGGAACGGGTACCAAGAAACCCAAACTGTTGACGATCGACCCCGTTCAGGGCGTCTCAGGACAACGACAAGGGGTAATCGTCGCTGGTTGCGTGTCATGTGTTCTGATGAGTCCCGATTCCCTTTTCATTTTCTTGATAGGCGTGGTCTCGCCTGGTGACGTCCAAATGAACGTCAAGCCAATGTTAGTTGGTGGATCGGTTATCGTGTCAGGAGGCAGGACTATGACTGTGCGATCCCCACTCCAAGGAAGGGTTACAGGACAGTACTTTCTGGACAACATACTGATAATCTTTGTTGACCCGTTTGGAGGTCGTGTGGATGGACGTTTTGTCTTTCAGGACGACATCGCCCGTGTAAACCGTACACGAATCGTCAATGCCAACGTACAGCTGCACAGCATCCACAGAATGTCATGGCCAGCAATAAGCCCAGACCGTTCCCAAATTGGACACGTCTGGGACATGACGTATGCGTCAACGTCATAGGACGTCGACAACGTTGGGTTAACGTGACCAAACGCTGCAAGATTAGTGGGACAGACTTCCCCCAAAAGCTTTCGGGAGCACACAGTATGCCTCGTCGAGTGAATAAATGTTTGACAAATCGTGGCGGTATTACGCCCTACTTTTTAAAGAGTATATATAGTGAGCGTTGTTTCATTACTTTCCAGGTGCATATTTCCCATAGCTATTAGGTCAAAGCAATGGTTTATCAGTTGTTAATCTGGTGATAGAAATCTATTGTTGGAGCCGTCGAGGTCAGTCAATATTTCTTTTTTTTATGGTAAAAAGTGTGTTGCAAAGCTTGCTCGTTCTCTCCACCATCTATGTTGACATACTTTTCGGATGATAAAATATCAACCCATAAATAGCCATGTTTATTAAATAATGGCGTTGTAGCTTTAAAGTGTACCTACACATTGCCAGCACATAAAAACATCTACGAGAATAAAAAAAATATCATTTTGATGTATGCTGCTCCCATGACGATAACCTTGTTCCATTAAACGACCACTTTAGGCATTTTAAAAACATAAAACGAATACCTTGGGCGCCTTAATGCATACAAACAACCCTTTAATGTGTTTGTGTTTCAGACCAGACGGGTGCTGCAATACATGAGACGTGATTAACAGGCGAACAGATGATAAACGGCATGGTTATGTAACCTAAGTGATATTGAAACTGCCAAGTGACCAGAAGAAAACCGGAGTGCTTTTTTACTGATGTTGTTTAAAAAGCAAATAGCATGGTACATCATTGTCAGTTATCGTTTCATCTGTAATCTAGTTGTGAGCACGTTTTACCAACCGGGTAAGACAGTGATGCGATGAGCCACTGGATCATAGATTCATCTTGATAATAATCCCTGGTCACATCACCGCACCCTTGCACGAAGGATGTACCACGGGGATAAACACTGTGATCTACCTGAAAAACTGTGATCTAACTGAAATAAAGGGGATTATAAACTGAAACACTCTTGGGACCCTGCCAAAGATTATAGAGAACACATGAATGCCAAGCACCATATTACAGTGTGCCTCCGAGGACATGTGTGAAGAAGAGCCCCATGAGATATATCTGCTTCAGAGCAAGGTTGTCATACACATGGATCCAAAGGGAGACGACTCTCCATTAATTGAATCTGAAACGTCAACGCCATAGTGAGTGAGTGAGTTGGGCTTAACGCCGCTTTTAACATTATTCCAGTTATATCACGGCGTGTCAACTTAATGTTGGACGAAAGCCCGAAGTGATGCAGGTCTCAGACGTTTACCACTTCGGTGAAACACACCAGCATGGGTATGGTGTTGAAAAATCTAGAAACCGGGATTCGAACCCACAATCATAGGTTTCTGGCGTGCCCAAGGGACACAAGTCTGCACACCCGTGCCCCCTTCAACGCCACAGAATAATCGGTCTCAATGTTTTTCCGAAACAGATTCCATGGGGCGTAAACGATATGATAGTAGTGAAAATTATATGAAAGGATCACTGACAATCAGTGATGACACCAGGTGTTTGTGAAAAGGGTAAGCATGTCCTGCCCTACCAGTAGCACCCGCCGCTCCCACAATTTGCATAAAAGTTTGTGTTCGTTGCCTGACGCCGCTTCAGAGCAAGGTTGTCATACACATGGACCTCAAAGGGAGACGATGCTCCAGGAATTGAATCTGAAACGTCAACGCCATAGAATAACGATCGATTATCCGCCGAAATAGCTTCCATTGGGCGTAAAAGATATGATAGTGGTGAAAATTATGTGAATGGATCACTGAAAATCAGTGATGACACCAGGTTTATGCGAATAGGGGAATAGGGTACCAGGCACCCGCCACTCACAATTTGCATAAAAGTATGTGTTCGTTGCCTGACGCCGCGCAGCAGTATAAACAAGACAGACATTGTCCCTGTATAAATAGACTTATCATTAACGAGTAAATTGTTATCGATCATAAAGTTTGAACAGGCAGATCATGTGGGACGTGAACCAAAATAGCTAGCAATGGCACTTCGCCAAGTTTAGTCTTCATTTAACGCTTGTGCTTTTATCATTTGATAAAACCAAATCAAGATAAAAACAGAGGTCACCTAGAAGGAAAAACTAGAAAAAAGACAAAAATACGTATAGGTCAGTTCTCTGAACAGATCTCGTGGACAACAGACATGTTGGCTCTTGTTTGTCTTTCCTTTCTTGGTGGTATGTATCCGTGGTTGTTAGATCATAAGGCCGTACGTAGTTTTGTTGTACAAGCACCAACGGGGATCTGCAAATGTTGTCACCTTTTAAATTTTACAGATGGGATATAATCCTTCGGTGATTTCAAAATTGAGCTATGCTACCTGTGTATTGGACTGCGGTAAATTAATTTAGAACCAAAGGCTCTCTGTTGTCCCTTTCGGTGTAATATACTATTACCTTTGACACTCTCTGTTTCAAAATATTTTGAAACACATTCTTTCAGCACTGTAGGAAAAGCAGCGTGAAGCTAAATGGTACATCTTATTAATGTTTATACTACGGAACATTGGAACTTTTTAAATTTGTGTCTTATGCTTATTTTCTGTAACAGGCACATGTGCCTTGATTTCGGGAATATATAATCATGTCTGATGCTTTGATGTGAATATGAAAAATCCATATGATGTATATATAGTCTTTCCTATAACTGACTAAACTTACCTTAAAAAAGGCTAAGAAGTTGCAGCAGGCGTTTGTGTGTTTTTGTTCATTTGTTTCTATTACTGATCTATTGTTTAGGTGCAGTTTGTAAGTCCCCTTCAGATCGATCTAAGCTTTCTCTTTGGCCCGGTTTCACAAAGAGATTGCAGATCTGAGACTGTCGTAACATCCATAGTTTAATACAGATTTACGACAGCCGTAAAGCAGCATTCGCTTTATGAAACAAGTGAAATCAAGACCAAGAGTCTTTTTATTGCAATCAACGATATGTTCCACTGTGCCAGTAAAACATGGCAGTTTAATACATGTATTACCTTTTCTTACCTGGTGTCATCACTAACTTTAAGGGACCCATCACAATTGTGGCTTTTACGCCCTTTGAAATCTGTTTCGGCAGATACCCGAGACTGATACTCTCTGGCGTTGACTTTTGAATTTCAGTGGCACTTGGTGCCCCTACGTCCTGCAACTTGGCCTGTCACACATCCTCGCCTGTGTGTGGATCGGACGGACACACTTACAGTAAGTATTACTTATTCATAATCTGCAATTGCTATGAAGATGTCAAAGAGTCTCAAATGTCTCTAAGGGTGTTTGATCAAGGTTGCAGGATTCAAGTCCTTAGCAAAACTTTCGCAAGTTTTTATGGAAAACATGTGTAACATATTTCCAAATACGACGCATCAGTAACCAACATATTGTCCGATGCAGTTCCCTAAATATTCCAAGTGTCATCACTATTTGATAGTGATTAACAAATACATGCTCATTGTGTTGTCGGAATCGTACAATTAGCTTAGATTTCTTATCCTAATTATGGAAAGGGATTCGTTGCATTTGTTTACATTTCTGACCAGATGGTAAAAACGTATTTTCCAGACGTTGCATTGACGTTCCTATTTTGCCGCACACTTATTCGTCTGGTTTATCAACTTCACTATAATCAGCACATAGGTTTTTTTATACTTAATAAATATGAAAAACACATGCGTATCATGATTTAAAATGCTCTTTGAAATGTCCATGCCCTTCATAGTCTGCTTTCTTACTTGATAGTCATACAATGAATTTAACAATCATACAAATTGATATTCAGCGTTGCCCAATCGGTCTTCGGCGCCGTAATTTTCTGCGCTGATTTGTGCCCCTCAGTCCTGGAATAATCTTATATTCGTCGGTTCGGATCCCGGCTTCACCCAAAAGAGAGCTACAGACATTTACTGATGAATTTATTAATTTACAATGTTGATAAACATTACCTGGTTTCAGAAAAGCGTGTGCACTTGACCATTACAAATGACATTTGCTGCCATCAAATACTTAATTACATCCGCAAATTTTAATTCATATAATGCTTATCTGCTAATATGGCTATGACTTAAAATTATTATCTTGATAGTTTAATAGTTTTCATTAAAGATGCAATATCACCAGTTTAACGTTCACTGCTAAATAGAGATTTGTATCTGACGCTTGCTTTACAAAGCACAGACTGAGATACACACCTGTATTCAAAGACGATGTCGAATGAATAACCAATAAATATTGTTTTACAACAGAACGGCATGAAACGGCATGAAACTCAAATACATTATTTGTGATATTCAGGAAGTTCCTGTGATTTGGACACCGCCAACTGCAAGAAAGAGCAATTAGGCCTCCCACACATTCGCCTGTCTTTCAGGGGACCCTGTGGCAACATCCTCGGCGGCTATCATGCCTCCACTTGTGACCAAATCTGCAACGAGGAAAAATCCCCCGTCTGCGCGTCTGACGGTGTTGTGTACGGTGAGAGATTTTCAGCTGGAATTTGGTTATTGTTTGCTGTTTAAGGTCGAACTTAGCAACATTCCAGCTATATGTTGCCGGTCTGTAAATAATCGAGCATCATGATCATCGATTTACGCAAATGGGATACGATAACATGCATCAACCAAACCAACGAGCCTGACCATCCAACCCTGTGACTCGCTTCTTGCGACAAGTATGGGTTGCTGATTACGAATTCTAACCCGGATCTTCACGGGGGATACTGCGTGTCTGGCAGTTTTTTGTCAATTCGGTGAGAGATTTGTAGCACTGACAGGCACACACTGATCATGGCATAACTGGTGTGTCGTGATATCATGTTTCTTCCACAAGGCAATATACTGGGGTAAATTATAATGCATACTAATAATTAAAGATATGTTCAACATTTTTTTATGTGTACAGTGTTACCTCGTTATTCGGTCAACATTCAAGTGGACTCGATCGTTCGGTGAACTTATATCAAATAATTACGAAGTAATGGCTGTTTGTGTGTAGACATCTGTAATCGCACAGTGGAGTTGCCTGGTTTCAATTTTTGTTATTATTATTATTACAATTATTATTACAATTATCATTATTATTATTATTATTGTTATTATTATATACAGAATAAAAAATTGGGTGATCCTGGCACAATCAGGCTGGTTAGGCTCATCATCAGCTCAGGGCCCTTGCCCCCTTTACATGCAGCCCAGACAGCGAATGGGACTTCTCCCAGGAAGCGCTGCCTAGTCAAACCCACCCAGAACTTTCCGGAGGATGTCAGAAGGGCTGTATTCCTGGTAGCAAACCCGGGTACTCTCCCAATGTCAGTCAACAGATTGCGAGGTACCAAAAAGGCACCGAGAACAATGGGGACTCGGACAACTTGTATACGGGCCTATTCCAAAGAATTTTGTATTTGTCATTTTCTACGACGCCCTCTACATATTCTGGGTCGTACCATGGATGGACCTCTGTGTCAAACCACAAGCATGGCGAAGACGGTAATAAAATGATCGAGCCACTCCATCATGTCGCTTAAGATACTGTGTTTGTGCCAAAGCTGGACATCCACTGACAATGTGTTGGACAGTCTTATTTAATTCATTACTTAATCTACATTTCATATTAACATTATGATGCAAAATCACAAACTGACGGTTTCGAGTGGGAAGTGACTGGTCCCACATCCTTGGCTCGTTTTAGAAAACTGTAGAATGCCTTGTTTTCATCATGAGTCTTGACATGCTTCACAAGAGTATCATCAGACAAATAAATGTGTGCAAAAGTGCTCAAAATAATTCTATCACGAAGAGCCCCAACGTTAATCAAACCACGCCCTCCCATAATGATTGGTAACTATAAGCGACTGAGCGAGGGTGGTGGGATCTATTGTCTGCCATGATTCTTCGTGTTAGGATGTCAATACCCTGAATTTCTTGTTTCGTCCAATCAACAACAGCAAAAGAATATGAAAGGACGGGTACAGCATAAGTAAACTGAGGGCCAAAAGAAATGTTACCAACATTAACTGATTTGCCACGTTGAAACAAAGATGCCAACCTGTTCAAAAACAGTAAAAAACACATCTCACGAATACAGCCTTCATGTCCTCTGTCGTTCATTGCACGTGCTTTGCGGATTTTGGGAGATATTGGTGTTTTTAAGCAATTTTTTAAAACATTCTTTCCCAAATTATCGTGCAATTTCCTGGTATAAATAACGCACGGATCTGTTCCCTATCACTGGTTGCGATGATTAACACCAACGAACATGCCAAGACTGACCGCTGTCCAGAGGGAGAGAGCCATAGGTATGCTGCAGATGGGAGCGACACAGAGAGCGGTTGCCATTAACATGAACTGCTCCAAGATGACTATTACCAGACTGGTCGCACGTCTCCGACAGACTGGCAGAACCGCAGAGTAGCAGTCCAAAGGTCACGACCCCGCAGGATGACCGCTTTTTACTGGTACTTCAACTGAGGAACAGATTTCTTACTGTGACGTCATCAGCGGCCAATCGCTTAGGACATCCGGTCAGCAGACAAACAGTGACGAGACGACTACGACATTATTGTCTCCGGGCTTATCGCCGTTTCAAGGGGATGACCTTGACCCGTCAACATCGACGTGCCAGATTGACGTGGTGCAGGCAAACTCAGCGATGGCAACAAAGGGAATGGCGGCGAGTGCTGTTTAGTGACGAGAGCAGGTTCCAACTCTTCAAACCTGATGGGCTGACGCGAGTTTATCGACGACGTGGTGAACGTACGGCTCCTTGATGTGTCCAGGAGGTGGAACCTTACGGGGGCGGAAGTGTGATGGTCTTGGGCGGCATTTGCGGGGACGAGAAGACGGAACTTGTCATCATCGAAGGCAATCTGACAGCACAACGCTACATTGACAATATCTTACGGCCAGTGGTTCTTCCTTTCATCCAGCGTCAACAACGGACGGTGTTCCAACAAGATAACGCCACGTCCCAAAAAGCCCGTAATACGAAAGACTTCCTCAATGTCAACAACGTGACTGCCCTGCCGTGGCCAGCTCGATCACCAGATCTGTCAACCATAGAACATCTCTGGGACCAGCTGGGGCGTCGTCTTCGGAAACGTCAACATCCTCCCTTCACGAGACAAGCGTTGATCGTTGCCCTCCGTGAGGAATGGAATCGGATACCTGCAGTCGATGTGTGAAGGCTTGTCTACTCAGTTAGACGCCGTATTCGAAAATGCATTGCCGCTCATGGAGGTCATATCCCGTATTGAACTGTCTGGGCCGTCGTCACCTTAAAGTTGTAACCAATGTTGTTGATCGAATACTTGACGAATGACCCCTTGTCAAGAAATGTCCCTGTTGGAGATCAAAAACGTTTTTGTTGAATTAGTACATTCGCATTTTACTGTTCTTAATGAAGAATTTCTACAATACAATTGTTATTGCTGCTTCAAATTGTGTTGGTCATATTTTATCCTAGAAATATCGTTGGTAACGTTTCTTTACGCCGTCAGTTTATTTGTGGCTTTTACTTTGTTGGGAGCATTCAGCTCTGAACTCCAGATTTTCTTAAGTCTACATTTGTACTCTGCCTGAAGTATGTCCTTGATATGGGTATTCTGGAGTTTGTCCCTAATCTGCATCCCTAAGTACGTATAGGCCTGACCTTCCACGAGATGGTCAATAACTCCTCCAAAACTGACTTCCTTGCCACGTTTCAGATGAAGAACGTTGCATTATTATTATTATTATTATTATTATTATTATTATTATTATTATTATTATATACAGATTAAAATAAAAAATGCAGAAAAGAGGGTTTGGGTGATTCTGGCACTATTATTATTATTATTATTATTATTATTATCTTGATAGTTTAATAGTTTTCGTCAAAGATGCAATATTACCAGTTTAACGTTCACTGTTGAACAGAGATTTGTATCTGGCGCTTGCTTTTCAAAGCACAGACTGAGATACACACCTGTTTTCAAAGACGATGTCGAATGAATAACCAATGGATATTGTTTTACAACAGAAAATAAATGTCGCTTCACCCTGGCCCAGTGTGCTGCTTCCAAGAACGGCACCCGTCTCTCCATTGTGTCGTACACCACTTCCTGCCCCACGCCTGTGGAAGTAAGTCTTCCAACATGCTGGTATCACCACTGTTTGAGGGTGATTCATAAACACATGTTCATCATATAGTCAAAATCGTGCAATTGAATCTGCTTTTTTCAGAGATTTCTTGTGAATATGGAAGGGGTTTTGTCGCTTTTATATATTTGAATGCATTCATTAATTTCAAATGCGCATGAGTACAGATCAGGAAAAACTGTAATGCATATGACGGATTTCAAGTTGAACTTTTACATGTCCAGATAGGACATTGGATGCAGTGTGCAGACATATTTTAGTAGGCAGCGCAACTGAATGAGTATCAGAAAGGTGCCAAACCTATAAAGGACGAGGTAGGATGAGGGCCCTTTCGGCCATTTGGAAATATAAAATAGTTGACAAACTAGCCTCTTTTCTTTCATACACTTGCACGTTTTTCTTACTTCTCCTTCTTCATGTACACGAAAATTGCAAAAATGAGTGAACGAGCCAAACTGTGAGCAACTATGAACAGAGATTGACAAAGTGCTCATATACCCTATTCCAGGCTAACTGTGAGAAGTTTGCGGTAAACACATTTGACATCGCCCTGGAGGGACCTCTCGGTGGCAGCATCCAGACATTCTGTCCCCTGAGCCGAATGTCAATTTGTACTAACCATGGAACCTTCAGGGGTGAATGCGAACTGTGCAAATACATCGACTCATTCATTGAGAAAGTCAAGCTCAACCCTTCCCTTAAAGGTACGTCTGATGCAACCCATCCACTGGTAAGACTGATAAGACATGTCACATTCAACAGTTGGAACACTGTGACGTCATACGGCTGCATCAATGTTTACAGAATCATATCATCTTTTCATGACATTATATATTTATAACGTTACGTCATTAGTACACGTGGATTGATTAAGTCAAGTTTAATATTTTGTTTGACGGCAGTGTATATATATCGCTGTTCGCGTTAAGTAATCTTATCGTAGCTACTAAATAGTTCAGTTGGATGATAAAGGTAAAAATAATTGGGTATCTGAAGTAAGAAATCTATTATTTATTTTTTCTTTTATGTGGATTGCACAAAAACTGGTAACATTCAAGTGTTTATGGGATTATTTAAGCAGCGAGTGAAAGATATATTTACGATATATGAAACTGTTTCATCTTGACATTATCTTAGCAATTATAGTAAACTAAAGTCACATCTTCAACGGGAAATGTATTTATCTGTCTTACACAAGTCATTAATAAGATCGTTTTGTAAATCTCATTACACAATTTTAATGTAAATATGTGTCGTAAATCGAAAGATATTGATGTTATTAACAGTGTTTGTCCCAGTTGTGACTGAGGTGAAATTGAAGATGAATTCCGTGTCTCATTTAAGTGTAACAAGTATTCCAAGTTAAGATCTACATATCACCCCTTCTTGAATAATGACGATAAATCTGAAATGTTAATGATAAATTTTATCAATTCACATGTCATTTTTTCAGTGGCTACTTATACGTAGCAAGTTCTTACTATCAGAAACAAGAATATGTAATTTCTGTATATGTACGTGGCATTATTATGAACTAGTATCAATTGTACTTTAGGCTATATGGCCATAATACTGAATAAACGTGTCTGTCTGTCTGTCTAAATAGTTCAACGTCAAAATTGTCTTAGTACGTCGAGAGAGCAAGTTTTTGACTTTGAACATTCTTTAACCCCTATCACTTTAAGTGGGAGAAACGCCTACAATCAAAAAGGTTGTAGACATTTATGTAACCCAAGCAATGTACTCACATACCAAGGTCAAGGTCACATTTTTTAGCATTCGATCAAAGGCATCTGAGAATAATAATTCACTCACATCCAATTGCGGTGTCTTTAACAACTGGGACACCAGTGTCACATACGTACAAGAGGATCAGTCAGATGACACATGTAAAATATAATAACATAAGAATATGTAGGGATTACCGACAGTGATATAGTTTTTTTATATTACAAATTCAGAGAAGTGTGGACAATGATTTGCAAATTTGAAAGAACGAATGTGCACTGTTTGTTTTTTTGTAACTCTTTACATCATATATTTGTTTCAGTGCCAGACTTCAAGATCTTTTACAATGGCACATGCCACAATGGCGCATACCCAATCTACTACCCTGGAGGCCCCGTCGTCGCTAGCCCCTTCTTAACTGATGAAGCTGTCAGAAAGTGAAAACTGTAACAATAAATATATGAACGTTTGATAATGAGTCAAAGTACGATTATGGTAGTATCACGTTAGCTGCATCCCGTAAGGTGTACAAAAACCTGAAAAACGAACGTCATCTCGCATGGGGTTTTCCCATGTTGAACTATGGTCCACATGTGGGACTATGTGCCCTGGCCAAACCCTGAAGCTTGTGGCAGGAGCCCGCTAACACGAGGATTAACCTTGTTACGATTTCGATAAGTGTGTGTCATCCTATTAGCGTGGGTCACGATATCACCCACTGGTTCATCTTGTCCAGGCTCGATTTCGTACATTGGTGTAGCTCGACTACATCAGATTGTGCCACCCACTGAAATGTTTTTGAACTTATTGATACACAAAATGGGCAAAGATGTTTTAAAGTCGTTTATTGTTCACAGTAATTTTGTACAGATATTGTAGAACTGTATTAAAACTTTATGATATGAACTTTTGATATTGAATGAAAGGTATCCTTAAAATACTTCATTTTAAATCGACAAATAATGCATACGTTACTGGAAAGAAATGACATATGCTGGTGTACACATAACACACTGATGGAAATATAAGCGACAAAAACCTTTTCCATAATCATTCGAAATTCTGTACGCAATCATTGAAAGATTCTTACTATATCATGAGCATGTGTTTATAAATCACTATCAAGTAGTGATGATAGCATGTGTTCATCGATGGAACCCGTCACAAATACATCAATTGTTCATCTGAAAAAACACTTGAACATATGGTAGAAGTCAAAGTAGGTATTTGCATCAGATGATGCATCAAATTCGTTAATGCCCTCCACATGTCTACCATAATACCTTTTGAAAGCTTTGCTGAGTCCTTGAACTTTGATCAAACAACTTTTGAGCTAGAATCGTATGACGCTGTTTGAAATCTTCATGCAAAGAGAATCGCGGCTCAGTTGTACCTCAAAAGTTGTGTACGTTGACTATTGGAAGGTTAAGTCATCCCTTTTGATAAAGTCGTGTGGGGAGTTTTTAACCACCTTCGTTCTGCATAAATCTAAATACGAAACAAATAATGCGGTTTCACTGCTCTCTTTCATTTCTAGTTCAGGTGGGTATATCGATAGAAGGGACTTTTTTATTTGACCGTTATTGAACGTTATCAGGTCATCGATATACCTAAATCATATTATAAGCTCAACTTCTTAGCCATATTCTCGTTTTGGTCTTGCCAATCCGAGCAAAAATTCCAATTCATATGCACAAAGAAACAGATAAGAAAGGAAGGGAGCATTCAGTGTTGCCTATTACGTGCCTAAATGATCTTTCACCAATTCTCACATATGTATTGTCAATGAGGAAGTGAAGCATTTCACATAGTGGCTGATTGTTTAGCTTTTCACGAAACATGCTTCAAAATGTGAAAATGAACCAGTAGTTGGCCCAATCTGATTTAGGTTAAGGCAGTATAAACATGTAGTAAAAATTTCATCTTGTGTTACATACATTTTTACACATAACCAACTACAGATTGAAATAGATAAAATGCTCCCAGTCACAAATGAGGCATACAATGACTGGCAGAGGGTCGGTTCTGTCAGTTCAGATCTGATGTAAGACAACGTGTTTACCGCTGAAGGGGAGAACGAACGGCGGCCTGTTGCATTCAGGAGGTCGTGTCGTATGGTGGAGGGGGTGTTATGATGTGGGGAGGAGAGGACGCAAGTGGTTATCGTTAATGGGAAATGACAGCTCAGCGTTACACGGATGACATAATCCTCGTAGAACACCCCTGGGATGTCATGGATCGACGTGTTCGACAGCGACCACGATCCATATTGGAGCCATAAACATGTTGCAGCTGTTGTTCCCTAAGCCTTCTTTTGTTTACTTCAGTATTCTATAAAACTTATTACTACGTTACATTTGATATTTCTATATAATTTTTTAATTTGACGTTTACACGATATTCGGCTTATCCATTGGACGAGAGGTCGGTCACATGACCGCGAAATTGACGTTCATACGTTTTTCACGAGACCGTGTTCTTGAAATGACGGACGACTTCCACAATTCTGGGGAAACTTCTGGGAATTCCCAAGCACGAAAACATACATAAGCGTTCTTTCTGATCATTTAGAACCTTTAATCTTGGTCTCAACGTTTCAGTATACATTGGGACACGCCAGAGAGCTTGACTGCATGATTGGTCACGAATTTCCTCGCTACGGCCCATCCTTATGAACAACTATCGTAGTATCGACTCGATCCGTGTCTGGGCTAACCGTCTCCAGCAATCTATGAATTAACCTTAGTGTCTGTTTGACGCATCTTTAATCACCATCAATGATCAGCCAGTTGATCAATGATGACTAACACATGTAACTGCCACAGGTTCAACTTCGGAAATCTCTTGCGTCACGTTTATAGTGCCGGCCATTCTGACGTCTTGGACTTGATGTAAATGTCCTACGACGCGCTGTCATTGTGATTGACTTACTGAGGTGGTTCTTTACAGACCTTTCTCATCTAATGGTGATATTATTTGAACACATGTGTTGCGCAAGAAGTTTCTGAAGAGCAAGTTGTGCATCCATACGCTCATGTCACCTCTCTTTTTGAGGAACTGTTTTATTCCGCGGTAAAACTGCTTGTTGTATGGCTGAGAGTGTAAACAAGAAGTCACACGTACAAAAAAAAACTGTGTTTAGATCCTGGCCTACATCCTTTAAGGTAAGAAATTGTCGCAAGCTCCGATGTTCATACAGTTTGGCCCTCACTCTATGAAGGTTCATACACCAATGAACTCACACAAAGTGAAGGTCAATTCTTAAATAAACTTGTGACGTGTGGTCACTGTAAATATACAGTGGACGTGTTTTGACGGAAAGTTTGTTTTAGTTCAGGCAGTGATCGTGATTATCAGATTTTAGCAGGAGTTGCGTTCCGTTATGTATGACACTATTAATGAAAAGTTGATTATCAACACTGTAAGTGTCTTCAGATGGCCGCCAGTACTTGGCCATATTTTATGAAGCAAAGAAGCAGATGATTCAATGGGTACTCTATAACTGTCGCTATGAAGCCGTTACAAAACATATAGTGAGATAATCAATCACCAACCATGTATCTCAATATAAGTATGTCCTTTTGTAAACAAAAGCAAATTGTGTTTTGTTAAGAAATAAAATGTGGGATACAATATTAGGAATTGCCTCTTTAATAGTGAAATTTACTACTTAAACAAGTAGTGGATCATGAAATATATATTTTAATGCCAATCCTTAGAACAAAGGGAAGTGTTGACGACAAACATGTGCAAGAGCGTTCATGTCTGTAAAATCTGAGAACAAAACACAACCTTTATAGTTTTCACGTGCTTCACGTAGCAGCGCCACACACGTGCGTAGGGTGGCATTCTTTTGACACTTTCAAGGAAGGTGTGTTAATCTCTGTGGACCAATATTATAATCAATCTTATCGATTCTGCTGATCGTACAGCTGTGTTTTACTTGATTCGATTGTTTGTGCATAAACTAGCGATGCGGCGTCGACAACGCATGGAGGTTCTACGGGCTGTTGGCATGCTGGAAACATGCAGAAGTCAGCGTGCGGTGGTCAATAGTTCAATGTTTAACAGTCTCTGATTAGCAGACTATGGAACGGGTACCAAGAAACCCAAACTGTTGACGATCGACCCCGTTCAGGGCGTCTCAGGACAACGACAAGGGGTAATCGTCGCTGGTTGCGTGTCATGTGTTCTGATGAGTCCCGATTCACTTTTCACTTTCTTGATAGGCGTTGTCTTGTCTGGCGACGCCCAAATGAACGTAAAGCCAATGTTGGTTGGTGGATCGGTTATCGGGTGGCGTTACTATGACTGTGCGATCCCCACTCCAAGGAAAGGGTCACAGGACAGAACATTCGGGACAACAAACTGACATTCTTTGTTGTCCTGTTCGGAAGTCGTGTGAATTCTTCAGGACGACATCGCCTGTGTAAATTGTACACGAATCGTCAATGCTCACGTACAAAAGGACAGCATCCACAGAATGTCATGACCAGCAATGTCTGGGGCATGACGTGTGCGTCAAAGTCATTGGCCGCCGACAACGTTGGCTGAACGTGACCAAACGCTGCAAGATGAGTGGGACAGACTCCTTCAAAACGCTACGGGGAGGCTCATACACTGTATGCCTCGTCGAGTCAATAAAGAAGAAGTATATATATGGTGAGCGTTGTTTCATTACTTTCCAGGTACATATTTCCCATAGCTATTAGGTCAGAACAATGGTTTATCAGTTGTTAATCTGGTGATAGAAATCTATTGTTGGAGCCGTCTAGGTCAGTCATTTTAATTCTTTATTTTTAATGGTGAAAAGTGTGTTGCAAAGCCTGCTTGTTCTCTCCACCATCTATGTTGACATACTTTTCGGATGATAGAATATCTTCCGTCAATACTCCCCATAAATAACCATTTTTGATAAACAATGACGTTATAGGTTTAGAGTTTACCTACACATTGCCAGCACATAAAAAAATCTACGAGAATCAACAAAAATCATGTTGATGTATGCTGCCTTCAGGACGATAACCTTGTTCCATTTGACGACCATCTAAGGCTTTTTAAAAGCATAAAACGACCACCTTAGGTTTTTTTAATGCATACAAACAACCCTTTAATGTGTTTTGTGTTTCAGACCAGACGGGTGCTGCAATACATTAGACTTGATTAACAGGCGGAGAGATGTTAAACACCATGGTTATGTAACCTTAGTGATATTGAAACTCTTTCTTTTCACTGATGTTGGTTAAAAAGCAATTAGCTGGTGCATCATTGTCAGTTATCGTTTCATCTGTAATCTAGTTGTGAGCACGTTTGACCAACCGGGTAAGACAGTGATGCGATGAGCCACTGGATCATAGATTCATCTTGATAATAATCCTTGGTCACATCACCGCACCCTTGCTCGAAGGATGTACCACGGGGATAAACGAGTTGATAAAACTGTGATCTTACTGAAACACTGTGATCTAACTGAAACACTGTGATCTAACTGAAAACACTGTGATCTTACTGAAACACTGTGATCTACCCGAAACACTGTGATCTAACTGAAACACTGTGATCTAACTGAAACACTGATTTACCTGAAGCACTGTGATAGATCTGAAACACTGGGATCTAGCTGAAACACTGTGATCTAACTGAAAACACTGTGATCTTACTTAAACACTGTGATCTAACGGAAAACACTGTGATCTAACTGAAACACTGATTTAACTGAAACACTGTGATAGATCTGAAACACTGTGATCTACCCGAAACACTGTGATCTAACTGAAACACTGTGATCTAACTGAAACACTGTGATCTAACTGAAAACACTGTGATCTAACTGAAAACACTGTGATCTAACTGACAACATTATGGTCTAACTGAAACACTGTGATCTTACCGAAACTCTGATTTAACTGAAACACTGTGATACATCTGCAACACTGTGATCTTACTGAAACACTGATGTAACTGAAACACTGTGGTCTAACTGAAACACCGATCTAACTGAAAACACTATGGTCTTACTGAAACACTGATCTAACTGAAACATTGTGATCTTACCGAAACTCTGATTTAACAGAAACACTGTGATATATCTGCAACACTGTGATCTACCCGAAACACTGTGATCTAACTGAAACACTGTGATCAAACTGAAACACTGATCTAACTGAAACGCTGTGAAATAAGTGGAACTCTGTGATCTAACCGAAACGCCGTGATCTAAGTGAAACATTGTACTCTAAATGAAACACTGTAACCTACTTGAAACACTGATCTGACCGAAACACTGTGATCTAAACGAAATACTGTGATCTAACTAAAACACCCTTGCTCGAACCTAACTGAAACACTGATCTAACTGAAACACTATGGTCTACCCGTGTCAAGTGTGTGTCACACAATATACGTCTAAGTGTCACATTATATACATCTGGGTAGAATAGGTCTTCAGCAACCCATGCGTGCCGTAAAAGGCGACTATGCAAGTCGTAAGAAGCGACTAACGGGATCGGGTGGTCAGGCACGCTAACTTGGTTGATGCTTGTCATCGTCTCCCAATTGAGTAGGTCTATGTTCATAACATCAGTCACTGGACCGCTGGTCCACGCTCAGTTATTTACAGACCGCCGCCATATAGCTGGAATATTGCTGAGTGCAGCGTTAAACAACAAACAAACATCTGAGGGTACTCGTGTGTCACATCTTATACTTCCGAGGGCACTTGTGTAATTACATTATATATCTCCCAGGATGCATACGCGATATCATATATACCTCTGAGGGCACGTGAGTGGGTCATTATATACCTCTGAGGATGCATATGTGATATCATTATATATCTCTGAGGTCACGTTCGTGTCACATTATGTACCTTTGAGGATACGTGTGTGTCACATTATATACTATATCTCTGAGGATAAACCTCTGAGGACGCATGTGTGCCCTCGGCAACCGATGCTTGTCACAAGAGGCGGTTAACGGGATCGGCTGGTCAGGTTCTCAACCTTGTTGATGCATGTCATCGTATCCCAATTGCGTAGATCGATGCTTATGATGTCATTCACTGGACTGTCTGGTCCTGACTCGATTATTTTCTGACCGCCGTCATAAAGATGAAATATTGCTGAGTGCGGCCAACTAGAACATGTGACATTGTGATCTCCGAGAACATTATTTACTCTTCACTATACGTTTGCTTCGCACTGTTAACGTCTTGTGGGTACAGGTGTGTCACATTGTATAATTTCCAGGAATCGTATGTGGGACAAAGTATACTTTTATACACGTTTCTGTCACGTGTCTACATCTTAAGAAGCGTTTAAATAACACTGATTACCTCTTGGAACCCTGCCAATGAGTATGGAGAACCCACGAATGGCAAGCATCATATTACAGCATACCCCCGAGGACATGTGCTTCATAATAAGGTTGTCATACACATGGACCTCAAAGGGAGACGATGCTCCATGATTTGAATCTGAAACGTCAAGGCCATAGTGAGTGAGTTGGGTTTAACGCCGCTTTTAACATTATTCCAGTTAAATCAAGGTGTGTCAGCTTAATGTGGGAGGAAAGCCCGAAGTGATGCAGGTCTCAGACGTTTACCACTTCGGTGAAACCCATGGTGACGAGCACGGGTATGGTGTTGAAAAACCTAGAATCATAATCGGGCGAACCGGGATTCGAACCAACAATCATAGGTTTCTGGCGTGCCCAAGGGACGCAACTCGCGGCGCCTTACACGACTGGGCCACCCGTGCCCCCTAGAATAATCAGTCTCGATTATCTGCTGAAACAGATTCCCTTGGGCGTAAAAGATATGATAGTAGTGAAAATTATATGAATGGATCACTGAAAATCAGTGATGACACAAGGTGTTTGTGAAAATAGCAAGCATGTCCTGCCCTACCAGTAGCACCCGCCGCCCCAATTACTTGCATAAAAGTATGTGTTCGTTGCCTGACGCCGCGCAGCAGTATATACAAGACATACATTGTCCCCGTAAAAATAGACTTATCATTAACGAGTAAATCGTTATCCATCATAAAGTTTGAACAAGCAGATGATGTGAGACGTGAACCAAAATTGCAAGCATTGGCACTTAGCCAAAGTTAGTCTACATTTAACTCGTGTGCTTTTATCATATGACAAAACAAAATCAAGAAAGAAAAACAGAGGTCACCTAGAAAGGAAAAACTAGAAATAGGACAAAATTACGTATAGGCCAGTTCTGTGTACAGATCTCGTGGACAACAGACATGTTGGCTCTTGTTTGTCTTTCCTTTCTTGGTGGTATGTATCCGTGGTTGTTAGATCAGAAGGCCGTACGTAGTTTTGTTGTACAAGGACCAAAGGGGATCTGCAAATTTTACAGATGGAATATAATCATACGGCGATTTCAAAGTTGAGCTGTGTTACCTGTGTTTTGAACTGTGGTAAATTGAATTTAGAACCGAATGCTCTCTGTTGTCTCTTTAAGTGTAATATACTTTGTTCTCTGTCACTCTCTGTCGTGTTTTCTGCATCAAAATATTTTGAAACACTTACTTTCAGCACTGTAGGAAAAGCAACTTGAAGCTTATTGGTATATCATACATTATATATGTTTATACTACGGATAATTGGTAGTATAACATTGATTTGCATATTTGTTCTGTCACAGGTACCTTGATTTCTGGAAATATGTACTTTTGCCTGATGCTTTGATGTGAATAAGAAAAATTAATATGATGACATTGTATATATAGTCTTTCTAAACTCACCCTGAAACTAGGCTGAGAAGTTTCAGTAGAATTTTATGTGTTTTTGTTCATTTGTTTCTATCACTGATCTACTGTTTAGGCGCAGTTTGTAAATCCCATTCAGATCGATCTGAACAGTTTATTCATGTCGTTTAAGCTTTCTCTTTGGCCCGGTTTCACAAAGAGATTGCAGATCTGAGACTGTCGTAACATCCATAGTTTAATATAGATTTACGACAGCCGTAAAGCAGCGATCGCTTTGTGAAACAGGTGAAATCAAGATCAAGACTCTATTTATTGCAATCAACTGTGCCAGTAAAACAGCAGTTACGTACATGTATTATCCTTCCGTACCTGGTGTCATCACTTACTTTCAGTGACCCATTCATATAAGCTTCATCCCAATTGTGGCTTTTACGCCCTTTGAAATCTGTTTCGGCAGATACCCGAGACTGATACTCTCTGGCGTTGACTTTTGAATTTCAGTGTCACTTGGTGCCCCTACGTCCTGCAACTTGGCCTGTCACACATCCTCGCCTGTGTGTGGATCGGACGGCCAAACTTACAGTAAGTATTACTTTATCATAATTTGCAATTACTATGAAGATTTCAAAGAGTCTCAAATGTCTCTAAAGGTGTTTGATCAAGGTTACAGCATTCAAGTCTTTAGACTTTCGAAAGTTTTTATGGAAGACATGTGTAACACATTTCAAAATACGACTCATCAGTGACCAACATATTGTCAGATGTAATTCCTTATTTTGACTTGAACCATGTGTTCCAGCGTTTTTTTTGTGCGGGTGACGTGCCTTTGCATGTGTTTGCGGGTTGGATACGATGAACTTTTGGCGCACACCAACAACGTTGTGGTGTAATCGGAATGGTACAATTAGCTTAGATTTCTTATGATTCTTATGGAAAGGGATTCGTCGCATTTGTTTACATTTGTGATTAAATGGTAAAAATTGTATTTTAAAAAAAACACACCAAGAAGTCCAGACGTTGCCATGACGTTCCTATTTTGCCACACACTTTTTCGTCTGGTTTATCTGTACTTAATAAATGTGACAAACACATGCGTATCATGATTTAAAATGCTCTTTTCAATGTCCATACCCTTCATAGTCTGCTTTCTTACTTGATAGTCATACAAATTGATATTTAGCGTTGACACAGCTTGTCCAATCGGTCTACGGCGTCGCAATTTTCTGCTCTGATTTGTGTCCCTCAGTCCTGGAATGATCTTATATTCGTCAGTTCGGATCCCGGCTTCATCCAAAAGAGAGCTACAGAAATTTACTGATGGTTTCATAATTTTACACTGTTGATAAACATTACCTGTTTTCAGATAAGCGTGTGCATTTGACCATTACAAATGACATTTGCTGCCATTAAATACTAAATAACACCCGCAAATTTGAATTCATATAATTTTTTTCAGCTAATATGGCTGTGACTTAGATATTGGTAAATACGGTATGAAACTCAAATACATTATTTGTGATATTCAGGCAGTTCCTGTCAGCTGGACATCACCAACTGCAAGAAAGAGCAATTAGGCCTCCCACACATCCGCCTCTCTTATGCCGGACCTTGTGGCAACATCCTCGGCGGCTATCATGTCGCCACTTGTGACCAGATCTGCGACGAGGAAAAATCCCCTGTCTGCGCGTCTGACGGTGTTGTGTACGGTGAGAGATTTGTAACTGGAGTTTAGTTGTTTGTTTGCTGTGTAGCGTCGCACTCAGCAACTTTTCAGCTATACGTCGCCGGTCTGAAAATAATCGAGCCTGGATCAGATCATCCAGTGATTGACATCATGAGCATCTATAAACGCAATTGGGATACTAACATGCATCAACCAAACCAACGAGCCTGACCATCCGATCCTGTGAATCGCTTCTAACAACAAACATGGGTTGCTAAATACCAATTCTAACCCGGATCTTCGCGGGGGTATACTGCGTGTCTGGCAGTGTTTTGTCAATTCGGCTAGAGATTTGTAGCTGATGCAATAGGCACACACTGATTATAGCATAACTGGTGTGTCGTAATATCGTGTTTCGTTCACAAGGCAATATACCGGCGCCAATCAAAATGCATACTAATAACTAAACATATGTTCAACATTTTTTGTATACAGTGTAACCTTATTCGGACAACATTCAAGTGGACTCGATCGTTCGGTGAAAATATATCAAATAATTACGAAGTAATAGCTGTATGTGTGTAGACATCTGTAATCGCACAGCAGAGTTGCCTGGTTTAATTTTTTGTTATTATTCCTGATGGTGGCCTGGAAGATTTTGATTTTTTTTCCGATTCCGACCCCTCTTAAATAATAATAATTATAATGTCGATTATATAATGAATTTAATGACACATTGTCAGTGATTGCCCAGCTTTGGCACAAACACAGTATCTTAAGCGACATGATGGTGTAGCTCTATCATTTTCGCCAAGCTTGTGGTTTTGACACAAAGGTCCACCAATGTTACGACCCGGAATATGTAGAGTTCGTCATGGAAAATGATAAATAGAACATTCTTTGGAATAGGCCCATTTAAACCTGGTCCTTTTTGATAAATCCAATGAAATCATTTACATTATTGAATTTTCTGTCCCTTTTGACACTAATGTTTTTGACAAGAATGAGGGATAACATGGCATATATGCGGACCTCGCTTTCGAAATGTGACGCTTGCATCCCAAGTACCAAGTTGTCCGACTCCCCATTGTTCTCGGTGCCTTAGGTTTGGTACCTCCCAATCTGTTGACTGACATTGTTTGCAGGGTTGCTGAACTTCGCAACACACTGCACACAAACTCGATGCAGTGGCCGTTCAGATAGCCTCTCCTTCAGTCTGGGCCGATATGACAGCACTTCACCTGGTTGACACTCATTTCTGTACCGTCCAGCAGTACAGAAGCATCAACGAAATCAACATCGACATCGAGATTATGTCCCACATCCTTGGCTCGTTTTAGAAATCGGTTGAATGCCTTGTTTTCATCATGAGTCTTGACATGCTTCACAGGAGGATCATCAGACAAATAAATGTGTGCAAAAGTGCAGAAAACAATTCTATCATGAAGAGTCCAAAACGTTCACCAAACCACGCCCTTCCATAATGATTGGTAAATTTAAGCGATTGAGGGAAGAGCGAGGGTGGTGGGATCTATTGTCGGCCATGATTTTTCGTGTGAGGGTGCCAATACCCTGAATTTCTTGTTTCGTCCAATCAACAACACCCCAAAAAAATAGGAAAGGGCGGATACAGCATAATTATTTGTTGCTCTGAATTCCAGATGTTCTACATTTGTACTCTGTCCGAAGTCTTTCCTTGATATGGGCATTCTGAAGTTTGTCCCTTATCTGCATCCCTCAGTACGTATAGGCCTGACCTTCCACAAGATGGTCAATAACTCCTCCTCCAAGTAAACTGACTGATCCTCCCTCTTCTACCTTGCCACGTTTCAGATGAAGAAGGTTGCACTTTTCGAGTCTAAAGGACATGCTGATATCTTCTTCTTCTTCTTATGTATATATTAAAATAAAAAAAATGCAGCAAAGAGGGTTTGGGTGATCCTGGCACAGTCAGGCTGATTAGGCTCACCATCAGCTCAGGGCCCTTGCCCCCTCTACACGCAGCCCAGACAGCGAATGGGACTTCTCCCAGGAAACGCTGCCTACTCAAACCCACCCAGAACATGTGAAGACTTCACAAAACTGCAACCAATGGTTATTGTTTTTCAACAGAAAATAAATGTCGCTTCACCCTGGCCCAGTGTGCTGCTTCCAAGAACGGCACCCGTCTCTCCATTGTGTCGCACGCCACTTTCTGCCCCACGCCTTTGGAAGTAAGTCTTCCAAAATGCTGGTATCACTGTTTGATGACGATTCATAAACACATGTTCATGATATAGTCGGAATCGTTCAATTGAATCTGCTTTTGTCAGAGATTTCTTGTGATTATGAAAGGGGTTTTGTCGCTTTTATTCATTTGAATGCATTCAATAATTCCAAATTTCAAGTTGAATTGTCCAAGGATAGCGGATGCAGGGTGCAGACATACTTTAGTAGTCAGCGCAACTGAATGAGTATCAGAAAGGTGCCAAACTTATAAAGGGCGAGGTAGGGTGTGGGCCCTTTTTGGCCATTTGGAAATTTCAAACAGTTGACAAATTAGCCTCTTTTCTTTCATACACTTGCACGATTTTCTTACTTCTCCTTCTTCGTGTATACGAATATTGCAAAAATGAGTGAACGAGCCAAACTGTGAGCAACTATGAACAGAGATTGACACAGTGCTCATATACCCTATCCAGGCTAACTGTGAGAAGTTTGCAGTAAACACATCTGACATCGCCATGGGTGACCTCTCGGTGGTAGCATCCAGACATTCTGTCCCCTGATGCAAATGTCAATTTGTACTAACCATGGAACCTTCAGGGGTGAATGCGAACTGTGCAGATACATCGACTCATTCATTGAGAAAGTCAAGATCAACCCTTCACTTAAAGGTACGTTTGATGCAACGCTTCCACTGGTAAGACTGATAAGACAAGTGGATATCTGCTATTTAAAGGCTAATTCGACAGTTGGAAAACTGTAAGGTCATACGGATGTATCAATGTTCATAAAACCATATCCCGTGTTCAACGTCAATGTTTTCTAAGTACGACGAGCGAGCAAGTTTGTGTGTTTGAACATCCGTTCGTTCCTATCACGCCATGTCGGCTTTAAGTGGGAGTAAAAACTACAATCAAATAGGCCTTAGACATTTATGTAACCCAAGCATTGTACTCACAAACCAAGGTCAAGATCACATCTGAGCATTCGAACAAAGGAGTCTGAAAATAATAATTAACGCACATCCAATTGCGGTGTCTTTAACAACGGGGGCATCCGTGTCACATTCTTTCTAAAGGATCAGTCAGATGACACATGTAAATATAGTAATATAGGAATATGTAAGGATTACCGACAGTAATATAGTTGTATGTGTTTCAGATTCAGGGAAGTATGAACAATGATTTGCAAATTTGAAAGCACGACTGTGAACTGTTTGTTTTTTGGTAACTATTCACACCATACATTTGTTTCAGTTCCAGATTTCAAGATCCTCTACAGTGGCACATGCCACTATATCGGATAACCACAGTACTACCCTGGAGACCCCGTCGTCGCTAACCCCTCCTAAACTGATGAAACTGTCAGATAGTAAAAACTGAAACAATAAATATATGAACGTTCGATAATGAGTCAAAGTAAGTTTCTGTTAGTATCACGTTAGCTGCATCCCGTGAGGTGTACATAAACCTGAAAAACGAACGTCATCCCACAACTCCTTCATCAGAGTGACAGGTTTTCCATGTTGAACTCTGGTCAGAATATGCCTAAATAAGTCCTAGGTGTCCATCATTATGTGGGACTATGTACCCTGGCCAAACCCTCAAGCTTGTGGTTGAAACCCACGAACACTAGGATCAGTCTGTCACCTTGTTACGATTTCAACAAGTGTGTGTCATCCTGTTAGCGTGGGTCATGAAATAACCCACTGGTTCATCTTGGCCAGCCTCGATTTCGTACAGGCCGAAGTGGTGTAGCTCTGTACGAAATCATTATAATATTCTTACTATGTTATGAGCATGTGCTCATCAAGTAGTGATGATAGCAGGTGTTCGCGAAAAGGTGAGCGTATCCTGCTCAATCGATGGCACCGTCACAAATACGTGCAAGGGCAAGTCAATTGTTCACCTGAAAAAAGAAACCACGGGAACATATGGTACAAGTCAAATCAGGTACTTGCATCCGACATAATATTTGTACCTGGTGCGTCAAATTTGTAAATACCCTCCACATGTCTACCATAAAAACTTTTGAAAGCTTTTCTGAGGCCTTGAAAGTTGTAACTTTGATCAAACAACGTTTGAGCTCGAGTCGTATGACGCTGTTTGAAATCGTCATGCAAAGAGAATCGCGGCTCAGTTGCACCTCAAAAGTTGTAAAACATAGACACCGAAGTCTGGAGTTACTTGAATATTGCTCGACATAAAGGGAAAAATGACTATTGGAAGATTAAGTCATCCCTTGTGTTTCAGTCATGTTGGGAATAGTAAACCACTCTGAATCTTTCTGCATAAATCTTACTGTGAAACACATGATGCGGTTTAATTGCTGTCTTTCATTTCTAGTTCAGGTGGGTATATCGATGGAAGCTACTTTGTTATTCGACCGTTATTGAACGATATCAGATCATCGATATACCTGAAGCATATTATAAGCTAAACTTCTTGGCCAAATTCTCGTTTTGATCTTGCCAATCGGAGCAGAAATTCCGATTCATATGCATAGAGAAAAAGATCTGCAAGAAGGAGAGAACAATTGGTGCCAATGGGAGATGCCCATTTACTTTCCTAAATGTCATATCGCCAACTTGCACATATAAGTTGTCTATGAGCAAGTCCTTCAGTTCACATAGTAGCTGATTGAAGCTTTCCGTTAAACATGCTTTAAAATGTGAACATGAATCAGTAGTTGACCCAATCTGATTTAGGTTAAGGCAGTACAAACATGTATCAAAAACGTCATCTTGAGTCACATACTATTTTACACATAAACAACTGTATATTGAAACATATAAAATACACCCAGTCACTCCCAGCTGCCATATTAGGCACATAATGACATTATCAACCTGCACAAACAACTCAAGCCATGATACTGATTCTGGTTGGTTAAACTGTTTCAGAACACACACAAGTAAGTAAAACACACACTGTATGAGGGTAACATACTCATCGGTCACAATGATGAGAAGTTACTCTCGTGTCGTCGTCTGCAGCTTAACTTCAGCCAGGTCGAAGTTCGGGGTGGAGAGATCGTCAGTCGTAATACGTATAATTCTACATTAGTACAACTTCAAAATAACTAAAATCCGTTATTTGTTGGAGAAATAAATTCGTTCACTATTTCTATAACCTTAAACCCCTGGGTGAAAAATGACTTCCAAGAATTTACTGGGTTGAGCCCAAACAGTGCAAATATGCCACAGGTTGCACTGAAATTAAAACATCTACCTTCAGAGGGTTATTTGGAAACTTTTGATTAAAACCTATGTGTTTGGAACCATTATTTTGAACTAGTCGAGCCTATGAGTATTTTAATCTTAAACTTTAGAAATATTTGTTACATTTTTAACTGCCTGTGACCCCTTTTCGGAATGTTCTAAGACAGCGGACCTTTGAACCAATGTGTCATTACGCGTTCCAAGAGAGCACAGTGTTCAAAGCGCTCTTGTTGTAATGGTAGAACGTAGATAAACCTAATGTGTTTTAGAATTTGTTGTAGATTAGATATCACTTATTATAATTTGGAACCAAGCGCTTCAGCTTAATCTTCTAATAACGGTGGGTCGAGAAGGGAACTAACTCTGGTAGCCTTAACGAAAGAATAGCCAATCAGAGTGGTCACCTGGTGACACTATCAAAACTCCATCTATACTTATCGCAGAGGTTACGTCACACTAACTCATTTTTAATGACATTTCTCATCAATGTGGCAAAACGAGAATAATTGTTGTTGCTATATATATATATCCATGCAAAGAATTATAACTACAAATGTTGGCCAACTGAGCCACCTACAAACGTGCGCTACCTGTTTGGATCACTATTTTTGACGGAAAGTGGGTCGATATTTTAGAAAATGGTCATCAGTTAAGCCAACATAATGAAGCTTCGCCATTTATAAATGTGGTCCCTTCTGTTGTAATCGCTGTGGGGAGAAAAGTGGGCCCACATTTAGAAACTGATTATCAGCTTTTCTCCAGCCTATCGAAGCTTGGCGGTATACACATGTGAGCCCATTGGTTTCGACCATCATATATGGCAGGAAAAGTGGGCCAGCATTTTAGAAATTATTATAAACATATCACACGGGCCATAAACACATAGGAAAATCTGATGTAATAGGCAGATGAAATATCGCATATTTCAATTGTTTTATGAAAATTTCGTACGTTAGTATTATTAGCATATCATGACATTATCAAATCTACCAAAGTTCATGACATGTGACCAAACTGGGTGCGGCTTTAACAATAAAGAGATAAAATCAACGAAGGAAACGGGTAAAGACGAACTGTCGTAAGTGTGTTTTGGGGTGCCAAGAACGCTACAATAGATAGCTAAACGTATTGCTGCTTCGTGCCGCCATGGTCAGTTGGTGCCACGGGACCATATATGGTCCCGAGGAAATGCCCTTTTTAAGCCGTGAATTTAAATATCAAACACTCAGTGTGCAAAGTCAAAATTATAACCGTCATCACCCCAATCATCTTAGCTTTAACATCGCACACCTCATACGACCACTTTCGTCAATTTTGTTTTGACGTCAAAAACACGCCCAATTTCATCGGGATTTTTTATCGGTAAATATAACTCACGGAAAAGTGAATGTGTACTTCAAAATAAATGTCATATGTCTATCACTGTTAGGATATGTACTTGCCAATGATATGAATTATTGGACATTTAGATTTCAAACAAGGGCGCTTACTTGACTTTGCTTGCCATATTCGGGTGCTTCCATATGATGATTAATGTAGAAAAGTCGGAAACTTATAATACCAGCACTTTTATCGATGGCTAGGCAGTGAATAGATCTTTTGGATTTGGTGACTTTAGATACTCATGGAAAGACAATCAACTCGAGCTGCATGTTATACAATGTGGTTACATTGTGTGAAGAAATAAAGACGTTATAAATATTTTGATACAATGTAACGTTTTGGAAACAGCGACGTCATCACTGAGCGGAATGTAGGCTGGACTGACGTCCAGGCACCATGAGGGTTAAGTAACTCTACAACTCACATGGTCTAGAGGTTTCGCTAAGTCAAGGACTGCGAGGTCCGACGACCGGGACTCCTTATTACCTACACAGACATTCATGTACCGGCGCACACCCATTCAGGTATTAACGTCACACACTCACATAGATTACCTGGACAGTACAGGCCAGGGTAGGCTCGTCACAGAGCTAGTAACTGGAACCACCGAGTTTCAAATCGATCAGCTGACTGTGAAATCCGCACCACTCTCCAAATGATGAAGCCATCTTAATAAAGTGTTCGATCCTGACCCGCTTTTTTCACATGTCCTGATACATCATTTTGAACTTTTAACCGGTTCTTCTTCCTTTATTGATAAATCACAAGAAAAAATACCCATATATACAAAATATACAATTTTGTATATTTGATATTTCCAAAATATACAATTTTGTATAGTTGGTATTTCCAAAATATACAATTTTGTATATATGGTTAGATTTTACCACTGCTTCATTCAATTTCCTCACCTCTTATAGAATGTTTCACATAATATGTGGTTGCAAAGTTTACTAATGATACCGAACAGTATAATTATTGCATGTGACAATAATGCTTTAATACTATTTTCATTATGACAACTATATGATGTTATGAAATAATTTGTATTTCGTTATGTTTTACAGATCTTAATAACAGTTTGATCAATATAAAATGCGTACGCCAGCAACAAGTAGTTGAAAGTAGTTTTAAACATTGATGTTTATCGTTCCAAAGCTCTGTTCTCCAGCTCAGTTCATCTTTGTTTACGAGAACGTTTTTAATATGGGCAATTTTCTTCTTTCGGGACATTGGAGCAGTCATAATATTCATAACATCATAAATATTAAGATTACAGGAAATTTTAACAACTTTAGTACTCCATGAACTTTTACATAGTAACCATTTTCTTCATCAAAGCGTTACAAGTACTGTTATTAAATCTTGGGGTAGTCTAAAAACATTAGCATGTAATGTAACAAACGGGGAGGAGAGTCCCATGTCTCCATTAGTGGCTATACATGGAGGTACCGTTACTAACACCAAGAAATAATTACGGGCTCTATTGTGGATTAGATTAACGTTTTATCCTCATATACCAGAGCCATAGAACATTACCGGCTCAACAAGACTTTCATACAGTTTCATAAAAAACATCATAAGACATACACCCAACAGAATAAGACAAAGCATGGCTGGCAGAATTGTACAACTCTTTCACAGTTTCACATATCTAGATGCTCGTCAACCCGTAGTCCCAGATAACGATATGATTCTACATAGACCAGTGTTTGCCCAGCGTAGAGGAATCTGGTTAATCTGTATCACTTAACGAGTTTGAATAGCTTACTCTGCCCACAGTCGAGAGCAGCACAGTAATTAGTAGTTTAGACCAGGAGAATACACTGGTCACACTTGACTGGTCTGTCTGATGATTCGGTCACCTGCCAAATGGGATGTCTGACAATTGGGTGTGAACCTTACAGAGG